GGGTCTGGCTGTGTTTGTGAATACGGACTACTGCAAGCCAGCGCACTGCACAGTAAAGAGGCAGGTTTGTTGCAGAGACATTGAGCTTTTGGTTATTGGCATGCGTCCATACTATCTGCCACGGGAGTATAGCGTTATACGTATAGCGTTATACGTTATTGTTACAGCAGTGTATATACCTCCTTCGGCCAAAGCTGACAATGCATGTGAGAGCCTCTTTTCCACCATGAGCAGTCTACAAACACAGCACCCCCAGGCCCTGTTTATCATCACAGGGGATTTTAATCACGCCTCTCCTGGCTCTACTCTCCCATCCTTCACTCAATACATCACCTTTCCCACGCGAGGCAGTAAGACATTGGATTTATTCTTTGTTAATGTGAAGGATGCCTACACCGCGTCTGCCCCTCCCCCCCTGGGCAGAGCCGATCACAACATTGTCCATCTACGGCCCATTTATGAGCCGGTTGTGCGTAGGCATCCTGCTGTCTCACGTGTGGTGAAGCTGTGGAACGTGGACACAGAGGAGGCCCTCAGAGACTGTTTCGACACAACGCTGTGGAACGAGCTCTGTGAACCACACGGGGAGGACATTAATGCCATGACAGAGTGTGTCACGGACTACATTAACTTTTGCTTTGAGAACACCGTACCTGCCCGCACTGTACGGTGTTTCCCAAACAATAAGCCGTGGATCAACCCTGACATCAAAGCTCTGCTTAAGGACAAAAAGCGGGCTTTTAAGTCAGGGGATAAAGAAGCCCTTAAATCCGCGCAAAGGAAGTTGAGGTGGAATGAACGCGCAGCTAAAAACATCTACAGGAGGAAGATGGAGGAGCAACTGGCTCGGCAGGACGTGCGGGGGGTGTGGAGAGGCCTCAAATCCATGTCAGGCTTCAAAACACCCCCCAGTCAGTGCACAGGAGACCAGCTGTGGGCAAACGAGCTAAACACATTCTTCGCTCGCTTTGACCAGCCTACCCCTCCCCCTGCGCAAACGCTCTGCCTCACTCCGGCAGCGGAACAAAGGGCAACACCTACGATTCACACCTCTGTCATGGCACCACAGTCTTCCTCCCACGGCCCCCCCAGCCCTCCCAGAGACATTCCCCCCCCCCCCCCCCCCCCCACCACTGAGCCCCCGTCCTCCCTTCGCAGCACCCACTCCACCCAGCCCCCCTACACCCCCCTGTCATTCACCGCTGCTCAGGTGAGGACAGAGATGAGGAGGAGAAAGACCAGAAAGGCACCAGGACCAGATAACATCAGCTCCAGGCTCCTTCGCTCCTGTGCAGTGATGGAGCGCGTCTTCAACCTGAGTCTCAAGCTGAGGGTGGTACCACAGCTCTGGAAGACCTCTTGTGTGGTACCGGTGCCCAAGAAACCACGGGCCAAAGACCTCAGCGACTTCAGGCCAGTGGCTCTAACATCCCACTGCATGAAGACACTGGAGAGACTGGTCCTGGGACATCTCCGCTCCACTCTGAGCCCAGCGATGGACCCGCTGCAGTTCGCCGACAGGCCGGGCATCGGAGTCAAGGACGCCATCATCTCCCTGTCCCACCTGGAGAAACCTGGCTCCACTGTGAGGATCCTCTTCTTTGATTTCTCCAGTGCCTTCAACACCATCCAGCCGAGGCTTCTCAGGGACAAGATGGAGACAGCCGGTGTGGACTAAGACCTGTCCCAGTGGATCCTGGACTACCTCACAGACAGACCCCAGTTTGTGAGAACCAGGGACTGCGTGTCTGAGGTCCTGACCTGCAGTGTGGGGGCCCCCCAGGGAACTGTCCTCGCGCCGTTCCTCTTCACCCTCTACACCGCGGACTTAAGACACAACACGGACGGTTGTGTCTTCCAGAGGTTCTCCGACGACTCTGCCATCATCGGACTCAGCTCCGAGGACGATGACACAGAGTACAGAGGAGTTATACAGGACTTTGTGGACTGGTGTCAGCGGAACCACCTCCTCATCAACGCGGGTAAGACCAAGGAGATGGTGGTGGATTTCCGCAGACGTCACTCTGCAGCTCCAGCTCCAGTGAACATCCAGGGAAAGGACATCGAGAGAGTGGATTCTTACAAGTACCTGGGTGTTCATCTGAACCAAAAACTGGACTGGACTCATAACACAGACGCCCTCTTCAAGAAGGGCCAGAGCCGCCTCTACCTACTGAGGACGCTTAGGTCTTTTGGAGTGCAGGGGCCACTCCTGAAGACCTTCTATGACTCTGTGGTGGCATCAGCCATCTTGTACGGTGTGGTCTGCTGGAACAGCAGCATCACAGAGAGGGACAGGAAGAAGCTGGACAAGGTCATCAGGAAGTCCAGCTCAGTCCTGGGCTGTTCCCTGGACACAGTGCAGCAGGTGGGGGACAGGAGGGTCCTGAGCAAACTAACATCTATGCTGGATCATGACTCGCCCCCTGCAGGACACTCTCTCTGCTCTGGAGAGCAGCTTCAGTGACAGACTAATTCACCCTCGCTGTGTGAAGGAGAGGTTCCGTAGGTCTTTCCTTCCTGCTGCTGTCAGACTGTACAATAAGAACTGCTGAGCCTGTAAATTTCATTCATCTGTAACTAAGTAAATTCTTAAATCATGTGCAATGCGCAATACTGCAACTTCAGAATGTCACAGAACAATGTCACTTTACCTTATGTCACTTTACTTATATACTTTTTATCCTGCACTATTTAACTGTACAGTATATAACTGCACTACTACATATATATTTTGACTGGTATCGAAGCATTTTCAGCATCTACAGCTAGTTATGTTAGTTAAGAAACATAGCTACTACTTATTTGTATATAGTGTATATATTGTGTGTGCTCCCTGTGTGCTCTTACTACTGTACTATATGTGCGCTGCAACATCGAAATTTCCCCACTGTAGGACGAATAAAGGAATTCTTATCTTAATTCTTATCTGAACATTTGGCTCGACCAAAGATCTGTTCGGGATTAGATTAGATCAAGATCAGATTATTCCCATGTCCAGTTTTATTAAATTGCGTTTTACAAAATTCAAACCATGAAGTTGTAATGGAACAATGTGAAAAATTTCAAAGATAATAAAAATGGCATCACACAAAGAAATCAGAAAAAATAGAACATTAATGTTGCAACTCGCATACAAACATGTTATTTTGACCAAATGTTAGAGAAAAGAAACTTCCATTGGTTGCTTTCGAACAGTTCTTGCGTCGTTGTCCTTTGTGAAGGTTGTAGTCGGCTTCTCAGGGATTGTTTCATACACATCACTTCTTTGATTCTATAATCAAAAGAAGACAAAAGTAAGAAATAAAAAAACCATTAAACTGTTTGGAACCGTTTTACACTTTTTTTCTTAAATCTGGTTTTAAAATCATATTTTGAAATACAGAATGGCGCTGAAAAGTTGAGGCTCATACTACTAATTCAAAACACAAAATAATTTGTTTTTTGGACAACTTTATCTGTTACGTACCAAAGCCGTGTATATTCCTGAAGCATCTGGTTCCTCATAACCATCACTATGGAGCTCCAAATCTGTCAGAAATCAACAACTTTACATGATTAGGTTTAAAAATGGAACTGAAAGTGAGAATAAAGTCTATACCTGGACCAGTGTCTTGAGGGCTTGTAGAAAAAAATATATATATAATTATTTTAGTCCAAAGTCAAATAAAGTCAACTAAATTTCTCAGAACACTTACACAGAGACGTCACGTTGGCCTGAGGAAAGAAAATGCTTTTTCTATCAGTTTTGTCCGGAGATTGTTACAGAGAAGACAGAATTATTTTCACCTTTGATTCTTGATGAGCAGAGAAAGCCCAGAACTGTCAGGACAGTGCCCGTCACCAGACCACAGGACACCAGCACGACCAGCACGACCAGGAACCAGGTGGGTACCACTGTGACAGTATACAGCGTGGCAAAAACATATTTAGTCAGACACCATTTGTCAAGTTCTCCGACTTAAAAAGATGAGAGATGCCTGTAAACAGGTGTGGGTGCTGTTTCTGACTGAGAGGTCAATTCATCTATATCAGAAACAACACCCACACCAGGACCAGGGGGGCAGCAAGAGGGGACTGTATCACCCCCCTCAAGAAAAGCACATTTGGTCAATCTTCATTCTCCGTCCGTGCCACCTCAGATTGGCACCTTTTACCCACAACTATCAGAAATGCACCCTCTTACCTCACATACAAAACACAGTTATAACACTGGCTCATCATAACCAAACCTGTCAGCAGTGACTCGGCCTGCTCTCGCTGCCCCCTGCTGGCCGCTTGTTCTGTGTACACGTGTTTGTGTTCTGTGTGTGTCTCCTTATGATTGTGTATCGTTTGTTGAATGATGTGTGACTGAACGTTTTCATGTCTTGTCCTTGTAAATATTGTAAATAGATCACATTATTTTAACTGTCTGTGTAGCAAACATGTTTTTTATCTTTCAGGAGACACGGGACTATGGATAAAAAATAGCAGCTTGGCTAATTCTGGCATATTTACAGAACTGTTCATTAATATGCACTGTCCCTGTAATAAATAAATAAATAATCATCCATCCATTTTCTTCCCCATTGTCCATTTCTGGGTCAAATGGGTGGGAATCAGCTACCACCCAATTCATAGAGCTCCAGCCCCTCAATGATCCTCCTGCAGGTGGTGAGTCCACAGGAGGATATGTAATGGTAATAGATCATATCCATCATAGAAAAACCTCTACTATGAGAGACAAAATGAGAAAAACCAGGACGATAGTGTAAAGAAGAGAATGAATGAGGACAAAACGTGGCTGGGTCTTTCAACATGACAATCACACATCACCCGGGCAACCAAGCATTGCCCTCTGTGGGGGGAGTTGAAAGTCTGCGTTTGCCAGCGATATCTCCAAAACATCGCTGCTCTAGAAGAGATCTTTCTCATCAATCAATGCACATTTGATTATAAGATGAGTCTGATGTCTCACGAAGATGTGTGAACGTAACTGCAACATTAATCAATTTATCCTAAAAACCTGCATATTGAGTCTGAACATGTCTTTTTGCTTCACCAGGTTTGAAGAACTCTGCATCACTTCCTGTTTCATTCTTCAGGTCTGTGGTCTTCCCCGAGTCTGGGGTCTCATGCTGCAGGTCTGGGGTCTTCACTGAGTCTGTGGTCTTCACTGAGTCTGGGGTCTTCACTGAGTCTGGGGTCTCACACTGCAGGTCTGTGGTCTTCACTGAGTCTGGGGTCCTCACGGAGTCTGGGGCCTTCTCTGAGTCTGGGGTCTTCTCTGAGTCTGGGGTCTTCACTGAGTCTGGGGTCTCATGCTGCAGGTCTGGGGTCTTCCCTGAGTCTGGGCTCTTCACTGAGTCTGGGGTCCTCACTGAGTCTGGGGTCTTCACTGAGTCTGGGGTCTTCTCTGAGTCTGGGGTCTTCCTTGAGACTGGGGTCTTCTCTGAGTCTGGGGTCCTCACTGAGTCTGGCGTCTTCTCTGAGTCTGGGGTCTTCACTGAGTCTGGGGTCTTCACTGAGTCTGGGGTCTTCACTGTTGTGGTGTCAATGTGAAGTAGGAAATATTTTCTCATGAATCCTTCAAAACAAAGCATGTCATTAAAGTTAAATACACATTATTTATCAGTGTATCCATGTGTTTCTAATGTTACCAGCCAAGTCGTACGGTTCACTGCGAGGATCCTGAGAGGAGCCACAGCTGAGGACTTTACTCTGGACTTTATGGAAATGTTTCAAAAACTCCTCATTAGGAATAAAAAACCAGCAAAACCAAGACCGTGCTTTATTGGTTGAATACGACTGTGTGTCTCCAAAATACAGGTGACATTTGGACTCAGATGAAGGTGAAGAAGGCAGTGCACAGATCACATGAACCTCCTCCTCTGATTTAATAAGACTAATGTTTGGTTTTGCTCCTAAAAGAAAATCATTGTGAAAAATACAAATTTATAATACAAAGTCAATGTAAAGAACATATTTACCTCGAGCTGTGACTTCAACAATTGCATCTGTTCGGAATAAATTACAGTGGCATTTCTTAATCCTTGTTATAGCAGCAAACACACAATATGAAGCTACAATTTTAATTCTAAACTCACAAAACAAAAAAATTTTGTAGAGATTTTACATCTGATCAGTCCGGTATTCTCGATAAGAAAAGATTTATCTGTGTGAGATTTTTATTGATCTCACACAGGAAAAATGTACATGTCACATTTGGCATGGATAGAATCTCTCAGATGTGTGCAAAGGACAGAAGTGTGCAAACATTTTAAAGGCAAAAAATAAAAGTTTAAATAAAAGTGTATGCTTTGCTTCACACTTATAATTGGAGTAAATGAATCATCAAAGGCTAAAACTACAGGCTTCAGCTTCTAGAGATCAGCCACTTCCAAAGTGTTCCCAACGTAAAACCATCACAACACCTCAGTTGTTGAATCAATAACTTTGAAAGAGCCTCAAGCTGTGTTTGTACAGATCTGAATACTGCATGTATGATGTGAGGAAGAAAATAAAGATATTTGATCATAAATGTGAACTCACAGAGGAAGAGGATGAGCAGACGTGTGTCCATGCTGCAGGCGACAGTTCAGAGTCAGAAAGAACTCAGCTCTGACTTTGAACAGAGGAAGTGAGAGACCACCTCGAAGCAGTTGATGAGTTTTATACGACTATACAGTTTTATACAGAGTGAGACCAAAAGTTTCAATAATAGTACTCAGCTTTTTTGCTTTTCTGTCATTAACAAAATCCACACAAACATTAAATTCACTAAATGTATAGGTTTTAGAATATATATGTTATCGTTTTTTATATTTTAGTCTATTACCTTGTGGCTCAGTATTAAAGTAAAATGTAAAATGTTCTAAATATACAACAACATTTCATAGATTCTCTCCCTATAGCCGACAGAGGCTTGACATGTCCTGGTTTGAATTGGCTCCACATTTTACACATGTGTATGATTTTTGAACATTGACTTTTGCATGGGAAGTGTTGCATAATGTGGTTTCTGGACATTCTCCAGATGCCATCACAGGGGTGCACCTTAACAGGTCTGTGTGGAGCTGCAGGCCACAAACGGACCAATAACTCAGGCATCCTCTAAGAACAGAGAGTCCTCAAGCTCCTCAGAGGCCTCAGCAGGTCACAGGACACGGGGAGGAGGAGGGTCGTGTTGGTCGGGGTTAAAACTGCCATTAGTCACTGAGTGTATTTGAATGTCTGGGGTTTATTTATGGACTTCCAGATACATAATCATGATTAATATTTAAGTCAGTGGATTTCACATGCCACCTGTATGTGAAATCCAGATCCCGTCAGACTTCTGAAGCTAAGTAGTCTGGTTGGTACTGTGACGGGAGACTACGGTGAAGCACTGCAAAGATGTATTATACTACACAGATAGGGTTTTGGTTGCTTAATGCACCCTGGTATGTGCTTCTGCCGACTCAATTCACCAGGTCTATCCAGGAAATGTTGCATGAACCTCAAAGGCTCATCCTCAGCTGACAGATAACCTACAACTCCACTGGCTCCCCGTCTCACCCCAAATATAATATAAGGTCCTTCTAATCCCCTACAAGTCCCTTCACGACCTGGGACCCTCATATCTCACCGACCTTCTCCATCAGCACTGGGACATATCAAGGCCCCTCTCAATGAGCAGCAGCTTTAATCCGAGCTCCTGCCATGTGACTGAGCTCCTCACCCTATCTCTTCCTGCAGAATAAACTCTTCCAGACTTCTTGTATTCATGATTTTTATGTGTCCTTTGGGTCAATACAGCGCACCTGACCATAGGTAATGGTGTTACTTGTCCTTTATTATTACATTATTGTAAACACAAACTGTTATTATCGCAGTGATTCTCATGGATGGACGTAGGAGTATGAACACTGGATATACTGAATCTTCCTCCACACAGACCATATGCTCCAAGACTGAGACAGAGACCACAAAATTAAGAGATCTGAGGAGCACAGAGCGTCTTCTCTCAGGGATGTGGTCAGAGCAGACGCTGCAGAACAACACGGCTGGGTATTTTAAAACAGCCCTTACGAACCGGAAGGCCAGGTTTATTCTTAAGAGATCTCTAAAAAGACTTACCGTGAGAAATAACCAAGGACGTGTGTACTGTCCAGTCAAATGTGACACAAACACAGATAAGAAAATCATGAAAACAAAATTGTGTGCTTCCGCAGGCCCATTCATCCCAGAATCTGTTTGATATGTGACTGAGGACAAGTGGGATGGAGTCTTTAGTTAAATGTGTGATTTTTTTGTTGGTAAATTTAAAACATCACATACATAATTCACTGAAACCCTTACTACAGTGTATTTTAATCCAGGGAAGTTTCTTTTTCATTTTAGGCAGAGTATGACACCTACGTCATCAGGAAGTCCAGCTCTGTCCTTTTCCCTGGACACAGTGCAGCAGGTGGAGGACAGGAGGCTCCCAGACAAACTAACATCTATGTGGACCATGACTGTCGCCCCCTGAAGGAGACTGTCTGCTCTGGAGAGTAGCTTCAGCGACAGAGTGATTCACCCATTGTGTGAAGGAGCGATGGACCTGTTGTCTCATTGTGCTAAACAGTTCTAATCACTATCACGACAGATGTTACCCGCTTTAGTTTGAATGTGTAAAGTCCTACATGTTCATGGTCACATCTAAGGGTGCAACGGTTTGAAAAAAAATCATGGTTCGGATTGTACCTCAGTTCAGAGGCCACGGTTTGGTTCATTTTTCACACAAAAAAAGTGTTGTCTTTTTAATAAACACGGCTCATGTGGACTCGGCACCTGCTCTGACTGCTCCCCCCCCCCCCCCCCCCCCCCCCCCCCCCCCCGACCTAGAAATTGATTAAAGGGAAGGAAATGGATGGATAAATGAAAGGCATATTCTCTCCATCCATCCAATTATGTCTTTTTAATATAATTAATTAAAAACAACACAAAGTGCAACATTGGAAGGCACTTTATGAGGGTATTTACCCTCATATATTAAACCACCTTCCTGATTCTCCCAAGGAGGCGGTCGATCCTGGAACCCAGTCCTATATATACAGTCTATGCTGTTATTAGCTAGACCATCCATCTGTGGTGCATTAGCATTACGCCTGTCCAGCGTGGATAGAGGGTAGCACACCATGGGCACCACTCCAGGTGGCATTGAGTATCCACTACTTCTATAGCGCTTCTCTCCCGGGGAGCGCGAGACAAGCCACACAACTGGGGCTTACCCCTGCGGCATGGCGCCAGCCCAGGCAGAGGACGTCGGAATCGTGACGGTCAGCCTGGGAGAGGGCCGCCGGGCACAAGTTGCAGATCCGCAGCCTGACACCGGAGGGTAGCAAGTTCTCAGGCACGGGGATCTTGCTTGAAGACATCCTAGCAATTAAATCAAAGCTTCTCTTAGGCAAGCTGAGAGAGAATGGAGAAGAGCTGTGGTGCATAGCCCTATTTATGGGGGACTGACCTACGCCAGGACGTCAAGGTGATCGGAGCGGTGGATCGTTTGATCTTCTCAGGGCGGAAAGCGGTGCTTCCGAGAGATATGCAATAGGGAAGCCTAAAGGGCTGAAGCAACATATGAAATAGAACTGTGGCATGACTGCGGTGGCTTGTATAGGACAATGAAGAACATTGAAGGAGATTGTTTTTATTTTATTTTAAAATACACATATTCAAATGACGTAAACTTCTACAAAGACATTCTATTGGAGACAATGTGATGCAAAAAAAAAGCTGCACCTATGCCTCCCCCCTTTTTGTTTTTAACATTTAAAATTTAAATACATATTTTGGTATTTTTGCTTCTATTTAAACTGTATTTTAGTCAAGACATATTTCACCCATATGCATAAAATCAAGATTATATGAACAAATACAATAAAAAAAGATTAGTTGCCAGGAGTTCTGTCATTAGGCATAGCAAGTTTCAGTGTCAACGATTGTGGTCGATTGATTCTTACACTGAACAAGAATTAGATGTGGCTGATTAGACTGTCTAACTCCAGATGTCTCTCTGTTATGTATTCTTTGTGTAATCACCAGTGATGGGAATAACGGCGTTACTAACGGCGTTACTGTTTGTGTCTAGTGCAGAACGGTAGAGAAGGAATGCGGAGACACGAGTTAAGTAAGTATAAGTATAAGGTGCTCAAACTGAGCAAGACTGCGGCACCGAGGCCGTATATGAGACACACGCGCATGCGCCCTGGCGGTGCTTATGATAGGATGACAGAATACATAAAGCACTAGACTCTGTAACATCTTCCTTTTCCAAAACAGCTCAAGAATGCTATAACAAAATTCCTAAAGTTGCCTGGTATAAACATAACATGGCAGTAAACAACAAACAACATTTTTAAAACTAACCAATGCAACTAAAATAAAACAGAGGAACCATATGAAATATAAACTATTATAATACCGGTTACCAGTCTATTCTTTTAGGTGGCCTTGAAAGGCGCCCTGCCCTGGTGCGTACCAACCCCTCCCCTACACCTACAGTAACAGTGGAGGCTACAGGCGTGTGAGTAGCTGGTGAGGCCTCTACTACGGGCCTAGCAGGGCTTGAACCGGCAATAGTAGGATAAGCCCCCATCTCCCTTACTTCTGAACTGACAGTAGGTACACACTCACTGTCCCCAAATCCCAGAGCAGCCCCCGATTCTGCCACTCTAAGATCCACTCTGTTGCGGCGATAAACAGAACCGTCCATGTCCACAAGGTAAGACCGAGGCGCGACCTTGCCAAGACAGGTTCCAGCTCTCCATATGCGGGAGGTGTCGCCAGGAGGAGGCTTCATTCTGACAGTCTCTCCTACCTCCAGCTCCGGTAGGACCCGCGCTGACCGGTCGTAGAACGACTTGGCGAGCTGCCTCCTGTATTGAAGCTTCTCAGTAACTCCTGTCACCACCACCGGCTCAAGGAGTTTGTTGGTCACAGGAATGGATGTCTTAAGGCGACGGGACATGAGACGTTGCGCTGGGCTGCTGTCCATGTTTTCTGTCGGAGTATTGCGCCAGTGCAACACTGCTTTCCAAGGGTCGTTTCCATCCCGAGCTGCCTTGCGAAGCAGATTCTTTGCAATCTTGACGGCAGATTCAGCCTTACCATTTGCTTTGGGATACCTTGGAGAGGATGTCACATGCTCAAATTCCCACTCTGAGGCGAAACGAGCAAATGCGGAAGTAAACTGAGGGCCATTGTCTGTGATGACCCTGTCCGGCTGGCCATGTCTTGCAAACTGAGCCTTACAGCGCTTGATCACAGTCTCTGCTGAAAGATCAGGGAGGAGCTCAATCTCCCAAAAGTCAGAATAGTGATCTACAATGAGCAGGTATTCCTTGCGCCCGTGAGCAAAGAGATCCATGCTGACTATTTGCCATGGCCTTGTTGGGAGTGGATGTGAGAGCATAGTCTCTTTCTGCTGGCCATGTGCGTACTCATTGCATGTAGTGCAAGTGCTGACAAAGTCTTTGATCTCTGACTGCATGTTCGGCCAGAACAATGTCTCCCGAGCTTGCCTGTAACATGCTTCTCCCCCAATATGGCTAGCATGAATGCGTGCCAACATCTCTGTACGGAGTGATTTGGGAATAACCACTCTCTGACCCCTGAATAAGATGCCATTCTGAGCACTGATCTCATCACGATAGGGCCAGTATCCTCTAATAATGACGGGCACCTGCTCTTTGAGATCCGGCCAGCCTGTGGTGACTGTGTACCTCAATGCCTGCAGACCCTCATCATTGTCTGTGTGTCGCCTGATTTGTTCCAGGCGTTGGCCCGTTACGTTCAGGTAATCTGCTTGGTTCACCTGTTGCAGGTCCTCCTGGACCTCCTGCAGAAAACAGATAGCATGTCGCTGGTAGTAGTTAGCATTGCTGGCACAGGCCGCTGTTGCCCGACTGAGTGTGTCGCTGATAAACATTTCCTGTCCCGGTTTGTATACTACACAGAGACTGTAGCTTTGAAGAGTCATGAGCATGCCCTGAAGACTTTTTGGAGCGCTGAGGAGAGGCTTGCCGAAAATTGAAATTAAGGGCTTGTGGTCTGTTTCTGCTGTGATAGCGTCACGGCCATACAAATAGTAGTGGAATCTCTGACATGCAAAGACAATGCTGAGACATTCTTTTTCAATCTGTGCGTAATTCCGCTCAGTAGCGGTGAGAGCTCGTGAAGCGAATGCAACAGGCTGTCCCTCTTGCATGAGACAGCAGCCAAGCCCGCTCTGACTCGCGTCACTCTGGATTGTGACAGGCTGGGACACATCATAATATCGCAGTACTGGCACAGTTGTAGCTAAAGACTTAAGTTCTTGTATGGCAGCTTCATGTTTTGGCAGCCAATGCCAAGGAGTGTCCTTGTCTAGCAAACGTCGCAGAGGCTCACAGACACTTGAAAGGTGGGGCATGAACTTGGCCAGATAGTTTGCAAACCCCACCAGCCTCTGTACTCCTTTTGCATCGGTAGGATTTGGCATATCGATTATCGCCCTCACCTTTTCCGGATCGGGTTTAAGACCTGCAGCTGAGAGAATGTGGCCATGAAAACGGACTTCGGACATCTTGAATTGAAGCTTTTTTAGTCCAAGCCTCAGCTTAACTTCTCTGCAGCGATTTAGCAGAGCCAGAAGTTTGGTGTCATGGTCGGATTCTGCTTCCTCGTCCGTATCACCGCAGCCCACCACCAGAATGTCGTCAGCAATGGGCTCGATGCCTTCCAGACCTGCCAGTAGCTCATGCTGCTTTCTTTGATATACTTCCGGTGCTACAGACACACCAAAAGGCAGTTTTAGCCAGCGTTTTCTACCCCATGGTGTCCAAAAGGTAGTCATGAAACTGCTCTCTGTGTCTAGCTTACACTGCAAAAAGGCATCTCTGGCATCGACCAACGTGAAGGTCCTTGCTTTGGGCAGCTTGTATAATACATCTTCCAGAGTCGGCATTATGTAGTGGGAGCGCCGTAGAGCCTTGTTCAGAAACTTGGGATCAAGACAAATTCTCAGTTTTTGTGGTCTGCTCACAATGACCATGTTACTGATCCAGTCTGTTGGCTCTGTGACAGGTGCAACATGCCCCTCTGCTTCATATTTGTCAAGCTGGGCCTTAACTGCAGTTTTCAGAGCAATGGGGACATTGCGGGGAGCACTTTGTACTGGCTTCACGTCCAGATCTAGATCGAAATGTACTTCGCCAGGTAATGCCTCCACGGGTGAAGTAAACACATCGTTGTAATTGCTGACCACAGTGTCTTTGGTCAAATGTCCTGCTCGCACCACAGTGTCCACCTTGAGTGCATCTTCCGGAATAGTGAAACGTATGAAACCAAGACGTTCACAGGTATCGCCTGACAGGAGAGGCAACTGACCCTTTCTTACTATCTCAAAGGAGAGCTTGTGCTTAATGCCTTGGATCGTGCATTCTGTGTCAAAAACTCCCAATGACTTTATTATCTCCCCCGAGTACAGTCTGAGGCTGGCATTACTTTGGCGTAGTTTTCCTTTGGATGAGAGCTTTTTCTTATCTTTCAGTGTCATTATGTTGCAGGTGGCTCCCGAGTCAAGCTGGCACCTCTGTGATTTGCTGTTGAACTTTAGTGTGACGAACCATTTTTTCCCTTTAGTCTGTCCCACTGCACTGACTGACTCAATCATGTACAGATGTGTCTCCTCCTCACTGCTCTGCCCTGACTCAGCTTCCCCGTCCATGCAGAGCACCTTGCCCGTGGTACTGCCCCGTTTGCTTTTCATACAGACTTTAGCAAAGTGATTATTAGTCCCACACAATTTACATTTCTTCCCGAAAGCAGGGCAGTGGTCCCTGCCTCTCGTGTGGGTGTTTCCACAATACCTGCAGTTGGGGTCCACCGCCTTGTTTGAGTCGCTCTGCCTCGCTTTGAAGTGCTTAGCTGGTTGCCTGACAGCAGAGTGCACTGTCTCGGTGTGCATTACGTGTGTCCCAGCAGTTTCCATTACTCGCATCCTTAAATCTGTCTGCTCTGCAGCACGACACATCTCGATGGCTGTGACTAAGTTAAGATCCTTTTCCCTCAACAGTCTGCGCCTGGAGCTCTCACTTGCAATGCCCAGCACAATTTTGTCACGTATCATTTCGTCTTTTAATTGTCCGTACTCACACGTTGATGCTTTCTCTCTTAGCCTGGTCACAAAGGCGTCTATTGATTCACCGTCCTCTTGTTTGCAACATCCAAACAGATATCGCTCATAGATTATGTTTTTTGCCGGTTTGAAATACCTCTCCAGGGCGCTCAGTATAGCCGCGGGATCCTCTCTCTGCTCCGCCGTGAGGTTTAGGTTGTGACGGTAAACATGTCTGCATTCGCTGCCCATAACACTGCGGAGAGTTGCCGCCTGTATTTTTTTGTCCTTTTCCGCCACTCCAGTCACAAGAACATAGTCTTCATATTCCGCGCGGAAAACATCCCAGTTAGTGCTCCAATCGCCCGTGAAGCCCATCACAGACGGCGGGGGAATGTTAGCCGCCATGCTCACTGCGAACGCGGTGCCTGTTTATTCCTCTGCGTCGGACATGAATGGCGCCAGCCGCCCGGTTTGGAGAACACAGCTACGTATTACAGGTACAACGAATGGTACAACGTAGTCACCACTTCTGACACCATGTTTGTGTCTAGTGCAGAACGGTAGAGAAGGAATGCGGAGACACGAGTTAAGTATAAGGTGCTTTATCAAACTGAGCAAGACTGCGGCACCGAGGCCGTATATGAGACACACGCGCATGCGCCCTGGCGGTGCTTATGATAGGATGACAGAATACATAAAGCACTAGACTCTGTAACAGTTACTTTTTTCAGTAACGAGTAATCTAACTAGTTACTTTGACTGTAACTATAACGCCGTTATCATTTCCGACATCCCGTTACTGCGCGTTACTCAAGACGCACAATGAACTTCTCTTTTTACTTCGTGATAGGACTCATGCGCGTGTTGTCATGAGAGAAGGGAGGATGAGAAAACCTCTCAGCAATTATTGGCTGATGTAAAACATATTTCCTTTACAATCCACATGTCTACAGTTGAGAGGATGGCTCATAAATTGTGTTTTTGAAACAAATATGGGTCTTAATCGCGCTCAACCACTGCTTGTATCACCGTGAGTGCTCAGAGGAGCGCATGTGAGCGCAGAAGTCGGCTGCATACAATTCCATCCAAAAGCTCCTTTCTCTTCCTGGTTTATCTGCTAAGGACAGCCACAGGTTTGGCTAACATACATGTAACACATTTTAAGATAATTTAAAATGCACTTAGGGTAATTTTTTAATGACTATAGGAATGATAAGAAAGAGAGGTGAAGTGTAAGACGGTTGATTTTAGAAATTGGATGCACCCGGTTGCAGCTAGCAAAACAGAGGTGTTTATGGAGGACACACGCGTTTTGTTTTACTTTTTAAAACTCATTGGACTCATTTCCAAACGGAGGATTACATATCTACGCTCAAACTATTATCTGGACTTAAACACAGAACTGGTCTGAACCGAAGTGGTCTGTGCAGGTCATTTATAAGGTAAGACCCATAACTCATAGATTTGCGTTTTGTTTGAACAAACAATGCGGCCATGAAACATATTCTGCTGTAGCCAAACAAATTGTGAATATGCCGCTCTCTAGGTCCTGTTGATTTATATGATTATATATGTTCATCTGATTGGGCTGAAGTCAGTGCTTCACCGGTGTTTCCACATTCACAGTGGCGAGTGTTGGTGTTTAGTGCTTACAGCACAGAGAGAGATGGAGAGTGAACAAGACTTCAGCAGCAAAACAGCCTTTTCTAGATGGAAATATATGCACTATTTAAACTCACTGAGGTTAAAGGTAAAAATGTGCACGTCGAGTGCACATTATGTTTCAGAACAAAACAAAAAAGTAACGCAATAGTTACTTTTACTGGTAACTAGTTACTTTTATAGTGGAGTAACTCCGTTAGTAACTCAGTTATTTTTTGGGAGAAGTAACTAGTAACTACAACTAATTACTTTTTCAAAGTAACGTGCCCAACACTGGTAATCACTAAGGGAATGGTGCAGATGGCTTTATGACAGGGCCCTGGCTAGATCTTTCCTCCAATCTGACTTTGGGTGATGGCAAAAGATGAGGTATTGTGCATCCTTGTGTTTAGAGATTAGAGGGGAAGGGGAAAGCAGGGGAGGAGGATGGAGTCTAGGTTGTTTTAAGGGTGATGGGTGAAGGTTAGAGGAGGGACAGGCTGAGGCAGAGGTTTGGGGTGTTGGACAAGGGGAGGGATGGGCTGAGGTGGGTTTTGTGGGTGAATCAGGAGAGTTGGATACCTAGGTAGCTTTGAAGGTAAGTATAGGGAATAGTTATGAATGTTAGAGACAACTCTCCTTCTCTCACTAATGACCCTCCTCCATCCTCTTTTCCCTTGGAACAGTTGGCTCGACCAAAGCTCAGTTCAAGATTAGATTGGATCAAAATCAGATTATTGTCATGTCCAGTTGATCATTCTTAAATTGCGTTTTACAAATTCCAATCCATGAAGTTCTAATGGCACAATGTGAAATATGTCAAAGATAATATAAATGGCATCACACAAATAAATCAGAGAAAATAGAACATTAATGTTGCAACTCGCATACAATTATGTTATTTTGACCAAATGTTAGAGAAAAGAAACTTCCATTGGTTGCTTTCAAACAGTTCTTGTGTTGATGTCCTTTGTGAAGGTTGTAGTCGGCTTCTCAGGGATTGTTTCATACACACTTCTTTGATTCTATAATCAAAAGAAAACAAAAGTAAGATATTAACCATATTACACTTTTTTTCTTTTAAATCTGGTTTTAAAGTCATAATTCAAAATCCAGAATAGCACTGAAAAGTACAGAAATAAAATATTGAACTTAAGGTTTACTGAAGTACAAGTATGGAATGATGGAGGAATTCTTTCTGTCTTGATGTCCTGTTATCACCTCTATGGTCCTAGAGGTCTCTGATGGTGCTCTTGCCTGTACCTACTCCATCTGTCTCCATCTTACGTCCCTGTCTGTAGTTTGGTCTGTGTCTACGGTGGTGCATGTAAATGTATGTGGTGTCAGTGTAAATTTGTGAAGATCTTATCTTAAAAAATGTGACAAGACACATTTCTTCTATGGGTGACAATGAAGGAGTATCTTATCTTATCAATTTAGAACCACATGAGGCTCATACTACTAATTTTAAACACAATACTATTTGTTTTGAGAAAAAATTACAAGAAAGGTTTCAAAGTCATAATCTAGATTATGTCATGAACTTTAAATCTTGACATTGAAACTTCCTTTTTGGCTTTTATTTTCTTACATGGTGTAACTTTTATCTGTTACGTACCAAAGCTGTGTATATTCCTGAAGCGTCTGGTTCCTCATATCCATCACTATGGAGCTCCAAATCTGTCAGAAATCAACAACTTTACATGATTAGGTTTAAAAATGGTACCAAAAGTGAGAATCAAGTCTATACCTGGACCAGTGTCTTGTGAGCTTGTAGAAAAAAATAATAATAATAATTTTAGTCTTAAGTCAAATAGATCGATTAAATCAGTTTCTCAGAACACTTACACAGAGACGTCACGTTTGCCTGAAGAAAGAAACAACTTTTTTTTTATCAGTTTTGCCTGATGATTGTTACAGAGAAGACAGAATGTTTGACTTTTTCACCTTTTATTCTACTTGAGCAGAAAAACCCCAGAACTGTCAGGACGCAGCCCGTCACCAGACCACAGGACACCAGCAGGACCAGGAGCCAGGAGCCAGGTGGGTACCACTGTGACAGTATACAGCATGGCAAAAACATGATTAGTCAGACACCATTTGTCAAGTCTTCAAACTTAAAAAGACGAGAGATGCCTGTAAACAGGTGTAGGTGTTGTTTCTGATATTGATATCAGAAACAACAGGGGTGGGAATCAGCTGTCACCCAATTCACAGAGCTCCAGCTCCTCAATAATCCACCTGCAGGTGGAGTCCACAGGAGGATATGTAATGGTAACAGTTAATAGATAATATCCGTCATAGAATTACCTCTACTATGAAAGACAAAATGAGAAAAACTAGGACAATAGTGTCAAGATGAGGATGAATGAGGACAAGTAACATGAGATTTTGAGGGGAAACGACCATCCATCAGCAAGGGCTTGAAGACAAAACGTGGCTGGGTCTTTCAACATGACAATCACACATCACCCAGGCAACCAAGCATTGCCCTCTGTGAGGGGAGTTGAAAGTCTGTGTTTGACAGCGATATCTCCAAAACATTGCTGCTCTAGAAGAGATCTTTATGGAGGAATGGGCCAAAATATTAACAACAGTCTTTGTAAAGATTACAGGAGGCTCATTATCATCATTGTCATTATTATTACACATGTGACTATAAGATGAGTCTGACGTCTCACTAAGATGTGTCAAAGTAACTGCAACAATCATCAATTTATCCTAAAAATCTGCATCTGAACATGTCTTTACTTCACCAGGTTTGAGGATCTCTGCATCACTTCCTGCTTCATGCTGCAGGTCTGGGGTCTTCACTGAGTCTGTGGTCTTCACTGAGTCTGTGGTCTTCACTGAGTCTGGGGTCTTCACTGAGTCTGGGGTCTTCACAGATGGAGCTCCTGTGGTGTCATTTTGAAGTGGGAAATATTTTTTCATGAATCCTTCAAAACAAAACATGACATTAAAGGAAAATACACATTATTTATCACTGTATCCATGTGTTTCTAATGTTACCAGCCAAGTCGTACGGTTCACTGCGAGGATCCTGAGAGGAGCCACAGCTGAGGACTTTACTCTGGACTTTATGGAAATGTGTCAAAAACTCCTCATCAGGAATAAAAAACAAGCAAAACCATCGTCCTTTACCGTTCCCGGACCGTGATGTTTTGGTTGAATACGACTGTGTGGATTCTCCAAAATACAGGTGACATTTGGACTCAGATGAAAATGAAGAAGGCAGTGTGCAGGTCACATGAACCTCCTCCTCTGATTTAATAAGACTAATGTTTGGTTTTGCTCCTAAAAGAAAATCATTGTGAAAAATACAAATTGATAAGACAAAGTCAATGTAAAGAACATATTTACCTCGAGCTGTGACTTCAACAATTGCATCTGTTCGGAATAAATTACAGTGGCATTTCTTAATCCTTGTTATAGCAGCAAACACACAATATGAAGCTACAATTTTAATTCTAAACTCACAAAACAAAACATTTTTGTAGAGATTTTACATCTGATCAGTCCGGTATTCTCGATAAGAAAAGATTTATCTGTGTGAGATTTTTATTGATCTCACACAGGAAAAATGTACATGTCACATTTGGCATGGATAGAATCTCTCAGATGTGTGCAAAGGACAGAAGTGTGCAAACATTTTAAAGGCAAAAAATAAAAGTTTAAATAAAAGTGTATGCTTTGCTTCACACTTATAATTGGAGTAAATGAATCATCAAAGGCTAAAACTACAGGCTTCAGCTTCTAGAGATCAGCCACTTCCAAAGTGTTCCCAACGTAAAACCATCACAACACCTCAGTTGTTGAATCAATAACTTTGAAAGAGCCTCAAGCTATGTTTGTACAGATCTGAATACTGCATGTATGATGTGAGGAGGAGAAAAAGATATTTGATCATAAATGTGAACTCACAGAGGAAGAGGATGAGCAGACGTGTGTCCATGCTGCAGGCGACAGTTCAGAGTCAGAAAGAACTCAGCTCTGACTTTGAACAGAGGAAGTGAGAGACCACCTCGAAGCAGTTGATGAGTTTTATACGACTATACAGTTTTATACAGAGTGAGACCAAAAGTTTCAATAATAGTACTCAGCTTTTTTGCTTTTCTGTCATTAACAAAATCCACACAAACATTAAATTCATTAATTGTATAGGTTTTAGAATACATATGTTATCGTTTTTTATATATTAGTCTATTACCTATTAGCTATTACCTTGTGGCTCAGTATTAAAGTAAAATCTAAAATGTTCTAAATATACAACAACATTTCATAGATTCTCTCCCTATAGCCAACAGAGGCTTGACATGTCCTGGTTTGAATTGGCTCCACATTTTACAAATGTGTATGATTTTTGAACATTGACTTTTGCATGGGAAGTGTTGCATAATGTGGTTTCTGGACATTCTCCTGATGCCATCACAGGGATGCACCTTAACAGGTCTGTGTGGAGCTGCAGGCCACAAACGGACCAATAACTCAGGCATCCTCTAAGAACAGAGAGTCCTCAAGCTCCTCAGAGGCCTCAGCAGGTCACAGGACGTGGGGAGGAGGAGGGTCGTGTTGGTCGGGGTTGAATCTGACATTAGTCACTGAGTGTATTTGAATGTCTGGGGTTTATTTATGGACTTCCAGATACATAATCATGATTAATATTTAAGTCAGTGGATTTCACATGCCACCTGTATGTGAAATCCAGATCCCGTCAGACTTCTGAAGCTAAGTAGTCTGGTTGGTACTGTGACGGGAGACTACGGTGAAGCACTGCATAGATGTATTATACTACACAGATAGGGTTTTGGTTGCTTAATGCACCCTGGTATGTGCTTCTGCCGACTCAATTCACCAGGTCTATCCAGGAAATGTTACATGAACTTCAAAGGCTCATCCTCAGCTGACAGAGAACCTACAACTCCACTGGCTCCCCGTCTCACCCCAAATATAATATAAGGTCCTTCTCATCACCTACAAGTCCCTTCACGACCTGGGACCCTCATATCTCACCGACCTTCTCCATCAGCACTGGGACATATCAAGGCCCCTCTCAATGAGCAGCAGCTTTAATCCGAGCTCCTGCCGTGTGACTGAGCTCCTTACCCTATCTCTTCCTGCAGAATAAACTCTTCCAGACTTCTTGTATTCGTGATTGTTATGTGTCCTTTGGGTCAATACAGCGCACCTGACCATAGGTAATGGTGTTACTTGTCCTTTATTATTACGTTATTGTAAACACAAACCGTTATTATCACAGTGATTCTCATGGATGGACGTAGGAGCATGAACACTGGATATATCTGAATCTTCCTCCACACAGACCACATGCTCCAAGACTGAGACCACAAAATCAAGAGTTCTGAGGAGCACAGAGCGTCTTCTCTCAGGGATGTGGTCAGAGCAGACACTGCTGAACAACACGGCTGGGTATTTTAAAACAGCCCTTACGAACCGGAAGGCCAGGTTTATTCTTAAGAGACCTCTAAAAAGACTTACCGTGAGAAATAACCAAGGACGTGTGTGCTGTCCAGTCAAATGTGACACAGATAAGAAAATCATGAAAACAAAATTGTGTGGTTCTGCAGGCCCATTCATCCCAGAATCTTCTTGATATGTGACTGAGGACAAGTGGGATGGAGTCTTTAGTCCAATGTGTATTTTTTTGTTGGTAAGTTTAAAACATCACATACATAATTCACTGAAACCCTTACTACAGTGTATTTTAATCCAGGGAAGTTTCTTTTTCATTTTAGGCAGAGTATGACACCTACGTCATCAGGAAGTCCTGCTCTGTCCTTTTCCCTGGACACAGTGCAGCAGGTGGAGGACTGGAGGCTCCCAGACGAACTAACATCTATGTGGACCATGACTGTCGCCCCCTGCAGGACACTGTCTGCTCCGGAGAGTAGCTTCAGGGACAGACTGATTCACCCATTGTGTGAAGGAGCGATGGACCTGTTGTCTCATTGTGCTAAACAGTTCTAATCACTATCACGACAGATGAAACTTTAGTTTGAATGTGTAAAGTCCTACATGTTCATGGTCATATCTAGGCGTGCAACGGTTTGAAAAAATCACGGTTCAGATCGTACCTTGGTTCAGAGGCCACGGTTTTGTTCATTTTTCTAAAAGTTTTGTCTTTTTAATAAACACAGCTCATGTCGACTCGGCACCTGCTCTGACTGCCGTCTATAGCGCTTCTCTCCCGGGGAGCGCGAGACAAGCCACACAACTGGGGCTTTCCCCCGCTGCATGACGCCAGCCCAGACAGAAGACGTCGGAATCGTGACGGTCAGCCTGGGAGAGGGCCGCCGGGCACAAGTCGCAGATCCGCAGCCTGACACCGGAGGGTGGCAAGTTCTCGCACTCAAAGGATTGATTCAGGTGGTTAGTATTTTGAAGTCAAAATACATACTGAACAAAACTCAATCATTGATTTTTGCCAGTTTTACTTAAATTAGTGTGGTCGCAACTCATTTTAAACATGTCGGTCTCAATTAAAAGTTAATACAAGAATCCTAACTCATTTTTGTAACAAATTTGAATTTGATATTCTGGCCAACGGAGAAGTATTGAGTTTGCACAACATGAAAATCCTCTTGCAAGCCTGGTGGTCCATTAATGACAAAACAAATATATTGAGTTGATTCAAAACAAATATATTGAGTTGATTGAAAACAAAATGTGGCGAAGCAGTGACGCTACCCAGAATGCATTGCAGCAAAAAATATAAACTTCTTAAAAATTCTACATTTGAACATTAATTTTAAAACTGAATTTGAAGCAAGTCCTAAAGCAAAATACTTGAGCAACATTCTGAATAAACTAATTTGACCAAATAAGTAATTGTATTTATTTTTATCAGCCCTGATCGAGAGGGCCAAGCCAAAGCATTCCTATACTCCCTGTGTCGTCCTTCAATATTGAACAAATACTATAAAAATGGACATGTTTACCGGTGACTGTACTGGCCCACTCCCATATATGTGTGGAGTGAGAGACTACTGCCAAAAATTAACAATTGTAAAATGCTTTGTGAATCTGATCTGTGAAAGATGGTATTTGAATAAAGATTACGTATTCCTGACTGAAAATCATTTGTTGAATATAGTCAAAAAGATTTATTTTCAATGTAAATATTTAAGTTGGTGGTATTGTTAAAATTGAGTTGAACTGATGCTAAAACGCTTTCTGAAAATACTTAACAAAGTGTCTTTATAACTCAATTATCCAAGTTGGTGGTATTGGAAAAATTGTGCTGGACCAATGATAAATGACTTACAAAGAATACTTAAAACACGGTCTTGTTCGCAAAACTTAAAAAGATGCATGCAAAATGTTGCCTCAATTTTATTAAGTTTTGCCAATGCATTTTTTTTTAGAGTGCAGACACGGGAATCTTGCTTGAAGAAATCCTAGCAATTGAATCAAAGCTTCTCTTAGGCAAGCTGAGAGAGAATGGAGAAGAGCTGTGGTGCATAGCTCTATTTATGGGGGACTGACCTACGCCAGGACGTCAAGGTGATCGGAGCGGTGGTTCGTTTGATCTTCTCAGGGCGGAAAGCGGTGCTTCCGAGAGATATGCAATAGGGAAGCCTAAAGGGCTGAAGCAACATATGAAATAGAACTGTGGCATGACTGCGGTGGCTTGTATAGGACAATGAAGAACATTGAAGGAGATTGTTTTTATTTTATTTTAAAATACACATATTCAAATGAATGAATGAAAATTTGTAGAATGATAAACTTCTACAAAGACATTCTATTGGAGACAATGTGATGCAAAAAAAAAGCTGCACCTATGCCTCCTCCCTTTTTGTTTTTAACATTTAAAATTTAAATACATATGTTGGTATTTTTGCTTCTATTTAAACTGTATTTTGGTCAAGACATATTTCACCCATAAACATAAAATCAAGATTATATGAACAAATACAATAAAAAAAGATTTGTTGCCAGGAGGTCTGTCATTAGGCATAGCAAGTTTCAGTGTCAACGCTTGTGGTCAATTGATTCTTACACTGAACAAGAATTAGATATGGCTGATTAGACGGACTAACTCCAGATGTCTCTCTGTTATGTATTCTTTGTGTAATCACTAAGGGAATGGTGCAGATGGCTTTATGACAGGGCCCTGGCTAGATCTATCTTCCAATCTGACTTTCGGTGATGGCGAAAGATGAGACCCTGTGCTTCCTTGTGTTTAGAGATTAGAGGGGAAGGGGAAAGCGGGGGAGGAGGATGGAGTCATGGGTTGTTTTAAGGGTGATGGGTGAAGGTTAGAGGAGGGACAGGCTGAGGCAGAGGTTTGGGGTGTTGGACAAGGGGAGGGATGGACTGAGGTGGGTTTTGTGGGTGAATCAGGAGAGTTGGATACCTATGTAGCTTTGAAGGTAAGTATAGGGGATAGTTATGAATGTTAGAGAGAACTTTCCTTTTCTCACTAATGACCCTCCTCCATCCTCTTCTCCCTTGGAACAGTTGGCTCGACCAAAGCTCTGTTTGGGATTAGATTAGATCAAGATCAGATTATTCTCATGTCCAGTTGATCATTCTTAAATTGCGTTTTACAAATTCCAATCCATGAAGTTCTATTGTGAAAAATGTCAAAGATAATATAAATGGCATCATGCAAATAAATCAGAGAAAATAGAACATTAATGTTGCAACTCGCACACAATAATGTTATTTTGACTTAGAGAAAAGAAACTTCCATTGGTTGCTTTTAAACAGTTCTTGTGTTGATGTCCTTTGTGAAGGTTGTAGTTGGCTTCTCAGGGATTGTTTCATACACATGTAACCTGTATAAAGTGAACTGCTGTGATTCTAGGATTCTACAGGAGGAAGGGAGGCTTAATAATTTTAGACCACAAATGTTTAGTATGAAAAGTTAACACAAGCCGGCATTTATTTCTGTAAAACAAATGTACCCTGAAAAAAAACGTTTACCCC